GCAGAGGAGGCTTCCAGTGTTGCCTCCTAACCTTACCCTGCCTAAGGACGGTGCAGGTGTTGTCCCTACGCCCCCACACGTCGTGCGCCCCAGACTGGGGGCCTGAAAAGATGGGCGTGTGCAGGGGGCGATGAGGGAGTCATAGCTAAGACTTCGCAACAGGCTTTCTAGAAGATGCTATGCCATTCCCGTTTTATGCTGCACAGGGTAAGGAGGGTGGTACCCCTAGTGGTGAATCATCAGAATTGGAGGTGGAAGGAATGGGAAGAGGGATGGAGTCAAGAGAAGGCTTCTTACCTCTGGCACGCTGCAACAGGGACCAAATCAAAGGAGAATATTAAAGCAGCACGTCCCTAAATCTTGAAAGGGGTAGAGGATGTGGACACTCCTGTCTTTGGTGTTGCTCTGTGCACCAGGCTCAGCTGTTGTCAGTGTTTCCTGACTTCTCTCAACCTTTTCTTCTGTTTGCCCATAGGCCTGCTTTAAGGCTGGTCGGTTCTTCAGCAAAACAAGAGGAGGAGACAGGCTCCGGCTCAGATCTCTGGAGGCTGGTGAGAAGGGGGGCAATGCAGGGCACAGCTCCTGACGAAGAGGGGCAGGTGACTTTGACCCAACTGGGTGTAGGACCGCAGAAACGTTTCCTTTGCTAGCTTTGCACATTGCCACAGCATTCCCTGTCTGTTTTCTGCTAGATATTTTATGAATGTTGGAGTAGGTGTAGGTTGGGCTGTGAGTGGGAGAAGACCTGGCAGCAGGAGACAGGACCCTTGGGAGAAATGAGACCGTTCAACTGAGGAAGAGAGAGATTTGCATTGGCCAGGGTGCATGCCTGTCTCCTGAGCACTCAGACTCCATTCTCTCCTGTGTGTTTGTCTGTAGGACCCCTGCAGTCGGCTGTAGGGCTTCATACCACCTGAACAAAGAAAGGAGTGGAAATTGCATCACACCAGTGCAGGTTTGTATGGATGTGGGTTCACCTTTGGGTGGAGTAGTGGAGACCAGCTGGGTGATTAGGGTCGTATCGTGGGGCTTCTGTGCCCCTCCATTGTCATCCCCATGCCTGTTTTGTAGCAGGCAAGAGGGACAGAGAGACTTCCCCGTAGCTTAGTTTTTCTGCCTAGCTCTCAGCACCAGTCTCTGCATGAGGCAACACAATTGAATGAGAGATTCAGTACCCATTTTGTTGTCTCTCCCTAGGTCCACCTCCAGTGACTGCTCTGGTGGTACTGAAGTTGCTGCTGCCCACCACCCTCAGCAGATCTGCATACAGCCAGGAATCCTCCAGCTCCCCTGCCATCGCCTTCTTGTATTTCCGCTCTGTGTGTGTATTATTGAGTGATATTATTTTCAGTAGGTGATTAGGTGACTACTGAATTGGTTGTCAACCCACGTCTTGGTTTACAGCTTCTAGTTTAAATTTCCAAAAAAATTAGCACTTAAGAATACAGTCCTGTGCTTATTCTCTAGCTGTGCTTATACCTATGATTTATTGAGGGATATATAACTTGTGTTTTTCTAGTTTGTATCATGACTGGTACAGAGTTTGAAAAGGAGACTGGGGAAGAGGTTGTTGGTGTAGCTGAGATAGAAAATGATGTCCCTCCAGTGGTCAGACCTAAGGTTAGGACCCAAACCCAAATAATGACTGGAGCAAGGCCTAAAACCAAGACCAAGGTTATTCCTGGAATATGGTCTAATACTGACGCAAGAACAGTGGGTAGGGTATATACTAAGAGTAAAGTCAAAATGATACCTGGATCAAGGTCCAAAGATGATGCCCAGGTCTGGGCCCTGAGTGAGTTTGGGACTGAGTCCATGTCAAAGACAGATCAAGATTCCCAAACCAATGCCATAATCTCTCCAGTGGTCAGTACTGAATCTGAGTTGGTTGCTAAAACTAAGTGCCTTTTCATAGATAGAGAATTGGTTAATAAAGACAATGAGAGCTTTCCTGGAAAGAAGGTTCACTCTCAAGTGGGATTCCAACCTTCATTTGGGTCAGGAGAGGTGACCGATAGTGAGACCTGGAGTTTTCACAGGCCTGTATCATCCAAGCAAGAGCCCTCTCAGAATTCTGTGAATTCCTGGTTCTGGAGTCAAGAAGAGGTCAATGTAAGATTTCATCCTAGGAACAGGGTACAGGCTAGTACCAGATACAGGCACATGCCCAAACAAGAGGCAACTAACTATTCCAGGCACAAAAATAAACAGGATCTTTATGTTGTATCAAGTAGTTCTGATTCCGAGGATGAGTCTGTTAAAGCATCCTGGTTCTATGCTAAGCAAAAGACCAGTTCCTTGTCCAGATCCAGGGAAGAGGTCAATAGCAGGTCTTGGTCTAAGAAAGAAGTCAGTGTTGAATTCAGTTCTGGTTCTGAGTGTGAAAATGCTATGAAATCCTGGTTGTGGGATAGAGAAAAGACCAAATGCAGAACTTTACCTAGAGCCAGAAAAGAGACCAATGAGAGGGCCCAACACAGTCACAAGCGAGATGCTTGCATTGATGTCATGTGTGAATCTACAGATGTAATAAAAAAAGAGTCTTGGTTCTGGCCTGAAGAAAAGGGTAAAACACTTTTAAGGTGTAACACCAAAAAAGAGCCCAAGGTACAAGCAATGGAAAAGGAAGAAGCCAGAACCAGGATCAAACCAGAAGAAAGATCACAGGGGGAAGGCCTCACTGGGACCGGCTTCTGGGCTACAGAAAAGTCCACCCTGATGGACATGGGCAGCATAAAGTCCAGTCCACAATTAGAGGAAGAGTCCATTGTTGGTAGTTGGTTCTGGACTGAAGAAGAGGTCAGTATGGAGACTGGGCCCAGCAGCAAATCCAGACCAGCAGTTAAGGAGGAGCTTGTTGACAGTTCCTGTCTAGGGGCTGGGGAGAGAACCAGTATGGAAATTGGGGCTGAGGCCACCTCTCAGTCTGTGCTAGCAGCTAGTGATGAAGAGGTCATTGTTGGTTCCTGGTTCTGGGCTGGTGAAGAAGTCAACCCCGAGTCCAAAGAAGAGACGATGTTTGGGTCTTGGTTCTGGAGCACTGATGAGGCCAGTGTAGAATCTGGTGTTGGGGTCAGCTGTGAATCAAGGCCAAAGTCTGAGGAAGAAGTCATAGGTCCCTGGTTATGGACTGGAGAAGTCAGTATAGAGGCTGGGGTTGGAGAAGAGTTTAGCCAAGGATCTGAAGAAGAGACAATATTTTTGTCCTGGTTTTGGTCTGAAAACCAGACTCGTATGGATTCTGTGATGGAAGCCAGCTGTGATGTGCCAGGAGCTGAGGAGGAGGAGGATCCTGTGTTTGGGTCCTGGTTCTGGACCAGAGTAGATGCATGTGAGGAGGCTGCAGTCAATAGCAAGTCTAGCCTGGAGCATGAAGAGGCCATTATGCCATCTTTGATTGTGGCTAGAGAAGAGGCCAATACGAAGTTTGGAGTTGGTGCCAGCTGTAAGTTTAAGGCTGAAGCTGAAGATACTAATAATAAGTCTTGCTTCTGGGTAAAAGAAGAACCCTGTTTATATCGTGCCAATAGAGGAAACTGGAAGCTTAGATCAGAGGAGGAAGAGGACACTGCTGATTCAAGGTTCTGGTCCAGAAAATACACACGACCAGAAGCCTTTGTGGGATCCTGGTTACAGGCTGTAGAAGATGGCAGTACAGATTGTGAGACTAGACAGAAGGCCATGTTACCAACTGAAGAGAAGATTATGACCAAGTCCCAGTTTGGGAAAGAAGATAAAGATACCACTGTGGAGGCTACTGACAGAAAGGAGTCCAGACCAGAAACTGAAGAGGAAGACATTGTTGGTTCTTGGTTCTGGCCTGAGGAAGAGGGTAGGCTTGAGGCAGAAACTGAGGATAGAGAAGAGAGCAGCTTAGGAGTTGAAGAGGAATCTGTTTTGGGGGCTTGGGGCAAGCAGGAGGCTATTAGAGAGTCTGGATTTTGCAACAAGTACAGTTCCAAAGCTGATGTGGAGGAAGTCATTGTTGGGTCCTGGTTCTGGGAACAAGAAACAAGCCTGGAGACAGTTACAGCAGATATCTTTGAGTCCAAGACTGGGACTGAAGAGGAGGAAATCACTGTTGGGTCCTGGTTCTGGCCTAAAGAAGCTGATAGAGAAGCTGAGTCACAGGCAGTAGATGAAGCCAGGTCAAAAAGTGAAAAAACAATTTTGGGGTCTTGCTATAGTGCTAGAAAAGAAGTCAGTATAGAAGCAGGGATGTGCTGTGTACCAAAACCAGCATATGATGAGGAAATGATTGTTGAGTCCTGGTTCTGGTCTAGCGACAAAACCATTAAGGAAATTGGAACTGTAGCTACCTGTGAGTCCAGGTCACAAGATGATGGTGATGGAACCAGCTGTGAGTCTAAGACATTACCTGAGGAGGAGGAGGACATAGTGGGGTCCTGGTTCTGGCTGGGAGATGAGGCCCATTTTGAGTCAAATCCTAACCCTGTGTTCAGGGCCACTTGTGAGTCTTGGGGTTCAGTTGAGGAGGAACCTGAACCTTCACATCGACCTCAGAGCTGGGAGGAGGTCACTGTTCAGTTCAAACCCGGTCCATGGAGTAGAGTTGGCTTCCCCTCTCTAAACCCTTTTAGATTTCCAAGAGAAGCAGCACCTCTACTCTCTCAAATGTTTGGGGAAAACAGGAATGTGGAGCTTAATGCAGAAGGTGCACAGCAAGCATCTTCACATCATATTGAACCTGAGTTCTCTTTTCAGTATGATCCATCCTACCGGTCAGTCCAAGAAACTCGAGAGCATCTTAGGGCCAAAAAGAGTGCAGAGCCTGAGAGCTGGTTCTGCAGCTGCATACAGTGTGAACTTAGAATTGATTCTGAAGAGTTTGAGGAACTCCTTTTATTAATGGACAAAATTCAGGATCCTTTTATTCATGAAATTTGTAAAATTGCAATGGGTATGAGAAGTGCTTCTCGATTTACCCGAGATTTTATTCGGGAGTCAGGTGTTGTCTCACTTATTGAAACTTTGCTGGATTATCCATCTTCCAGAGTTAAGACAAGGTTTTTGAAAGATATGATTCTTACAGCTCCATCTTACCCAAATCTAAACATGATTCAGACATTTGTCTGTCAAGTGTGTGAGGAAACCCTTGCTTACCGTAAGGATTCCCCTGAGCAGTTGTCTGGATTAAGGATAATTAGACATCTCACTACTACTACTGACTATCACACACTGGTTGTCAATTATATGTCTGACTTTCTTGCTTTGCTAGCTACAGGCAATGTCAGAACAAGATGTCATGTTCTGGAAATGCTACTGAATTTGTCTGAAAATATTGTCATGACAAAAGAACTACTCAGTAGTGAAGCAATGTCAGTATTTATGGGCTTATTTTACAAGGAAGAGACAAATGACAATATTGAAATTGTTCTTGAAATATTTGAGAATATTGGTAACAATTTCAGAAAAGAGACAGTGTTCACTGATGATGATTTTAGTCTTGAGTCCCTTATTCCTACATTCCACGAAGTTGAGAAACTTGCCAAGCAACTGCAAAGCAAAATAGACAATCAGAATAATCCTGAAGCAGACCAACAAAATTAGTATGATTAATCACTTGCATCTGATTGTCACTATATTCGTGATATGTTCGTGAGTTATGATTGTTGAATAATGCTTTGGTTTTCACAAGTAGCTGTATGTTGCAGTGTACCTCTTTAATGCTGATGCTATACAAATCTTTATGTAAGCTAGATCATTTTTCTGATGCCAGTTGAATATCACAACTGAAAGAACACTTGTTGATATTTGTGTTGCCCAGATTATAATATTCAGTATTTGAGCTTCTAGTAGTAAACTGAGCCATCATAAATGAGCTATCCTTCTGATTGTTGTTCTAATGTGGATACCCTATTCTTGTTTGTGTTTCAATAAAGTTCTGTTAAATTTAGCAGAAATAACCTTTTTTTTTAACTTAAAGTAGAAGCTGGGTATGGTGGTGCATGCCAATAAATACAACACTCTGGGAAGCGTAAGGTAAGAAAAATCAAAACTTTAAGTCCATCCTGGACAATTTGGTGATTTAGTGAGACACTGTCTTTTAAAAGAAAGGCAGGGCTTATAGCTCAGTGTAAAGTTGTAGCTCAGTGCAAAGGCTCTGGATTCAGTTCCGAGTACTGCAAAACAAACAAAACTGATGTAAAGATGATGTGAATACTCACTGATAATCGTACTTGCAATATGTTAATTGTGAAAGTTTCTCATCTTTAATTTTAAAGGTTACACCTGACAGGTATTCAGGGCATACTTCAGAGAAAAGGACTCACTTAACTTGGACTCTTAAAGTGTAGGAAAGAAGCTGGTGATATGTTGAAAAGCATGGAGTTGGAAAATGTTTTGTGGGAGTGAAGTACCCATCTGCCTGAATTTAGTGGAAGGAGTAATTGAGGGCTATAGAGGGTGATGTAAGTTTTGAACAGCTGAGAAGCTGGAGTTTGCTCTTAAAATATAGGTATTTCTCAATGTTGCCTAAAGAATAATAGAGCACCCAAAAGTCAGGAAGGTGGTTCAATCATGTTGACGCTCATTGCAAATATTAAGGGAATATACAGCTATTAAAAGGGATGATGGGTAGGTTTTTAAAAGAACTAGGATAACTCATACTTTTCATAATTTTAAAAAAAGACTAGTGGTATCATGCATGGAAAGAGTGGTCCCATTTTAAAAATAAAAGTGAAACATCAGGCAATTTATGTATTACTTGATTGTGAAAAATTCTATAATTAAAGAATGACAAAGGAATAAGGTACAAAAGACTAATCTCAAAACTGGCTTATCACCGGGCGTGGTGGCCCCTGCCTGTAATCCCAGCACTTGGGATGCTGAGGCAGGAGGATTGTTGCGAGTTCAAGGCCAGCCTGAACTGCATAGCAACACCCTGTCTGAAAAAACGAACAAAAACCTGGCTTATCAAATAAAACTACAAGGTTATCTAAAGAAAATAAATATGAAATTACCCAAGTTTCTGAGTCCATTCCATACAATGTGTCTTACATTCACAACAGTTAATGTATGTTCAGACAGGAGCAAAAACCAGGGACAGAGTGGATTGGAGAGAGTCCACTATAAGGGGGAATACACAAAGTTTTCTTCACTCAGTAAAAGAGACAGACATAGTGATTTATTTTTGGTTTGTCTCAGGGCACAAAGTTTTTTCCACCTGGTTCTAGTATATAAACAATGGAACTAGGACAAAGGCCCTGTACACATTACAGATGTTGTCAGAGATCATCCTGGTGTTGAAAATTGAGGATTGAATGCTTTGCTTATCAATAATTTTCAAGACCTTGTGTGTGTTCTTTCATATGTTGTCCAAGCATTGTACAAAATACTAAAAATCAGTTCATCTCCAAAAGTATTAAGGAAAGTCCCTACCAGGCTGAGTATGTGTAAAGAGCAAGGCCCAGTCCTACAACCAGAAGCTTTGGCTCCTCTAGCCTTCCTTTCACCTATCTTCACTAGAGGCAGAAGGCTGCCATCTAAACTGCAGTGCTGCTGCAGCCAACCTGTGGTCATTTGAAACTGACAGTGGTTCCTGTGACCAGGCTCTTTTAACCAGTGGAGGAGAATGTTTACTTCTCAAAGGTAAAAAGTTCACACCTACTGAGATGGCTATAGTATAATAAAATTTAAGCACTGAAAACACAATGGTGTAGATAAGGAGAAATGAGAATCCTTGTGCTTTGCTGATGGAAATGTAAAATAGTGAACACTATGGGAAACAGTTCGGTAGTTTCTCATGATATTAAATATAGAGCTACAGTTGACCCAGAAATTCCACACCAAAACAATTAAAAGCAGGGACCTGAACAGATATTTTAAACTAATGTTCATAGAAGTATTATGCCCAAGAGCCAAAAGGGGGGGCATCAGTAAGTGAATGGATAAATTAAACGTGCTACATACATATATATTATTTAACCATAAAATAAATGAAATTTTGATATAACAGCATGGCTTAAAGACAGTATGCTTAGTGTAAGAAGGCAGACGCAAGAAAAGTTGTGATTCCACATATTTGAGGTACCTAGAACAGGTGAATTTATTAAGATGTGATGTAGCATACCCATTATTAGCAGCTGGGAGAAAAGGGAAAAGAATTATTCTTTAATGCGTACAGGTATTTTTCAGGAGGATTAAAATATGTTTTATGTGAATTGTTATGGCTATACAACATTACTAACTGTACATTCACAAATGGTAAAAACAATATATGTCATATATTTATCACAATTTTTAAATGGTATTGAGTGCTGCAGAAAGAAAAATACCATAACATATATTCCATAAAAGTAAACTTCAATTTATTCTAATTCATAAATAAAAACCTTAAGATACAAGTACTAAGAAAATATATTAGAGATTCATCGTTGTTACTGCTGAGAGAAAATGCCATTCTAGGTTTGATAGAGATCAGTAGGACATTTGAAAACTGTTGAAGTTAACTGATGATGTTAACATGATTCCTGATGCCATAAACATTTGTAGATGAATAAAGTTGGTATTTAAAATTCCTAAGAAACCCACTGAAAACTTTAATATACAAGTTCAGAAAGTTTTGTGTTAAAATACTATTACATAAAATTAGTTTTCTTGCCATACAATAGTAAGATCAAAAATACTAATGCTTGGTTCAAGGAATCACAGTTGTCAACTTGTACAAAGAAGGAAATATAAAGAGATAAAGCCATCATTAGAAATAAATTTTAAAAGATTAGAATAAAAACTGCAGTAAATATAAAAATAAAACTAATGAATTTGTGAAGTGACTACAGTAGCATCAAAAAAGTGCTAATAATTGAGGAATAACCTTTTTCCAAGAGACTCACTACAGTAATGGTGAGTGGTACCATTATCATTTCTACCCTTTGACTTCTAGGCCATGAATCCAGTGGGTGGGAGAGGCAGTACTGTGTATTGGACACTGATTCAGAGCATACAGAGTCTGTTGGAGAACCTTGCCACAGCTATGCAAGATACTAATACCTACTTGGACTATAACTGCATCCCAAAAAGGCCAGTCCACCTTTCTATCAGCTCAGCTACTTGTAGATAGTTAACATTCTAAAGCCAGTGAATTTCATAAGCATGAACCTTTTCAAATACTTTTTCAGCAATGAAGTACGTTCTATAGTAAGTAGTATGATGATGGATGAGGTATTCTGGTAGCCTTAGCAGAAGGATTACATACCATGAAGGCAAACCCATAACCAAAGCATCTATTCCAGTAACAATAAAGCATTGCCCTTTCCAAGACTGAAGTAATCCAATGAAATCAATCTGATAACAGGTTTCAGGCTGATCATTCCTGGAAATAGTGCCATATTAGGGACTCAGTGTTGGTCTCTGCTGCTGGCAGATTTTGCATTCAACAGTGACTCTATCCAGGTCAGCATTAGTGAGCTGAAGTATATGTTGCTAAGCCAGTATATAATCTTGATGCCTACCACCATGGTCACTTTGTTCATCAGCCTGCTGAAGAATAACAGGACAGCTGAGGAAAAATGTTGACTATTATCCACTCAATGGGTTATCCTACCTACTTGATTTCTAAAGTACCCTTTTTCAAAGGTCACCTTTTAGTAAATATTTACATTGGACATAAATATGTTTACATCCTTTGCCCATATAAAGAGGACTATCCACATCTCCAAATGTCACTGTCACCAATTTTACACTCATATTTCTTCCAATTCCAAGAACATTACCTTAGTCATTTTCTCATCATGGGGAAAAAACAACCAACACCTGTAACTTAAAGGAGTTTATTTTGGCTCATATTTTAGTCCATGGGTGGCTGTCTCTAGGTCAGGAAGGCATGGTGGAAGGATCCGGCAGAGAAAAATTGCTCACTTCATGATGAACAGGAAGCAGAAAGAGAAAAGGAGCTGAGGAGAGGTCAGTTTTTCCAAGTTACATCTCCAGTGATCAATCTCCTCCAACCAGACCCAACTCCCCAATTGCAAACCAGCTATACTGCCCCAATAATACAATCACTTTCCAAACACAAGAGGCTTTGGAAAGCATTTTAGATCTAAACAATATTCTGCCCCTGGCCCACAGAAGACTCGTGCACATCTCTTTATGCAAAATATATTTAGTCCATCTCTAAAAGTCACCACAGTCTTAACAGTTTTTGGAATGGTGAAATGTCTTAAGTCTAAAGTTTCCCCCTAGCCTCAAGGCAAACCCTTAGCTGTGAGCCCCTGTAAAAATTAAGAAGAAAGTTAAACACTGCTGACATACAATGGCACAGGATTAATATTGCCCTTCTAAAAGAGAGGATTAGGTAGTGTCTTATTTACTTTCCTTGTTGGTGAGACAAAATAGCCAACACCTAAAGTTAAAGAAGGGATGGTTTATTTTGGCTCAGTTTGTAGAGGTTTCAGGCCATAATGGACTGGCTCCAAGGCAGGGTGGTATGGCAGAGGGGCATCACAAAGGAGAAAAACAGTTCATGGCCTGAAAGATAGAAGGCAGGGGGTAGCAAAAGCTGCAAGTAGCAAGCGATGTCAACAGCCCTCTTTCTGTCCCTTATAATCTATCCAGGCCACACGCCTTTAGGGCAGGTAGCACTCACATCCAAGGTGAGCCCTCCCATTATCCACACTCAGATCTAGGGAAACGAATTAGTGGACTAATTTAATAATCATGCACCCTCAATCCCAACATCACACAGTTCATCCCAGTGTCACACACACTAGATCCAGCCACCTCTGATAAGCCCCACTTGATGATGACCACATGATGCTTTGGAAGGACACCTAGACACAAGCCATAGAAAGAAATTGGACCTCAGCAAAACCAAAAGTGCATCAAGGCAAGCATTACATCCTATAGTTCCAAGTACTCTACCCAAGGCAATTTGTGATGACAAGATATAAAGGACTTGAG